CCAGCCCTCTCCCCCATCCCACCATCGGGGGAGAATGAGCGAGCGGCTGTGTGGTGCTCGGTTGCCGGCTGAGGTTAAACCATGACAGGGTTGTATACTTTCTGTGCAAGAACCTCTCAGGAAGCAAAAGTGGGCAGAAATGTCAATCAGAAGAGATTAAAAAAAAAAAAAAAAAAAAGATTTCAACTTTTTCATTGCTCAGTAATACTTAATGTGCAACAAACTTCCACCTCTGATTTGAAGTGCATGCAAAAATACATAGCATAACAACATGCAGCAGATGGCATTGACTATTCTGGATGCAGACAGAAATAAGTCAGAGACAATGTGGGGTTATTAGCTTCAGTGTGATACAGAACAAATACGAAGTTGGTAAGCCTTTTAGTTTACAAAAGAGATGCATCTTAGAGTCTCATTTCACAACTGCTTTCTACATGTGTTCCAGAAGGAGTGGATTGGAAGCTCTGCTGCTTTTCAGTTTCTTTGAAATGTATTGTTGCACTGAACAACTGATGCTACTTAAAAAGCAGAATGTTTCTCAGGAGGTATATGTCCATGACAAGCTACAGAAAAGTTTAATTACATCTTTCTTTACTATTCTTCTGTTGATTTCTGACACCTTCAGAAAGTATCAGGAATTTCTGAATTTCTCTCGGTACTCTTGGTACCAATTTTCTCTTTGGTACTCAAATAATATTTATTCTAAACTAATGAGGTTGGGCTGTAGGGAAGGAGGTTGGCAGAGCAAAGTCTCCAAAGACATACATGTGCTTGTGGTTAGGTGACTGGGAAGTATACTGCCTTCCCCCTTCCCCTGTACAACAGCAAGCTGAGCTATGGCAAGAGGGAAAGCATTGCAGCTGAGTCAGCACTGAAGGAGTCCAGATTTATTCTTAAGGCAAGGTGGCTGTGGGCAAGGCTACCTTTGCAGGAGACTTCTATGTGGAGGAGGAACACATGAATTTCATATAGTAAAGGGAGGCTGGGGGAGAAATGGCAAACACCAAGAATGCAAGGCGCTAAGATTTTCAGATCAGCTTGACAGCGAAGCCCTGCTGGAAGTCTGTAGAGAGCCAGTGCTGGCTTTGTTACACTTGCTGCTGGGAAGAAGGGAGAAGAATACAGCATGACATTTTGGCACTGGAGGCGGAACTACACCACAGAACTGACAGTGCAAGTGTGTGTGTATGTAATGTGTATATATGAGGGAGCATAGTACGGCACACCAAATTGTTTGAGAATACTGAAAAGTAGGGCAACGTAAACATTTTGATTGTGGCTGAGAGAGCATGGGAAAAGACTACGGAACACAACCCTGTAAAGCCTGAGGAAACACTCTGTCCTCCCCTGCCTGCTGGGCTGACTTGGCTGCTCAGACAGGGTACTCACTCCACTGACCACATGGAAAACATTAAATTTACACTGCTGTCAGGGGTTAGGCCTTAAGAAATTACATTCTGTCAATGTATCACACAGGAAAAGACATAGTATCTCTTTCTGTAAATAAGAAAAAGCACTTTAAACAAAATATAGTATCAGAAAAGAATATTCACATTTATTTCTTTAAGAAATGGGCAGAAACTTGAAACACTGCATCAATACTAGAACTTTTTTGAGGTACTAATTATGGCTATTTTGTTAGGCACTTCTGTACAATATTTGCTTATTAACTACTGGACCAGATTTTCTTAAAGAGAGAGAAATTTTATTTAATAAAAATATTAGCTCATATTACCGTGCTTTGTCCTCCTTCCCCAATGCAATACACACGTAAGCGATAGGAACAGCCAGGATTTAGTCGGTCACACACATGTTCCCTAGCAGCTCCGCTGTATATTGTGTCCCATTTGTTTCCTGAAAGGTTAGGAATAAGTGTGCAATGAACCAAGGTGTAATTTGCCACACTTCAGTAGCAGCCACAGCAGGTATCCTAGCTTCACTAAATAAGCGTGTGCCTGATGTTCACAAAAAAAAATTAAGGCTTGCTTTGAGTTTCCTGGAAAAAGATCCAATAATTTCATAAATATAGTTTCCTAGGTAAATTTGTGTAGATCTGCTGAAGTGAAATATCTTCCTTATTTGCTATGCACATTAACTAGGAGAGAATTTACTTTTAATGAAGTAGTTATTACTGGGCCAGCAAGCACACTCAAACATCATAACCAAATAAATAGGACAGATACAAAAGCAAAATTTTCCATGGAAAAGAAACTTTAAATTATAACATTCATTTTGCAGACTGTAACTACAGTTTACAATTGATAAAGCTTGTTCCTGTATTCCTGAACAGCCCGGCACCATCTGAAATACTGATTTTGTTCTTTGCTGTTCAGCCAGATTCTTAAATCAGAAATTCTTTAGCATTCTCTCTCTCTTTTTAAGAGATTAAGCAGGGAACCTGGGGACTTTTAATTACATCTCCAAAAACTCATCACATCACAGAATTTAGAGGACTGAGAATGAAATGTAATGCACAGCTCACTAAATCTGCATGAAAGGCTCAGGTAAATCATTCCAAAAGTGACTTAATGTGGACACGTGATGGAGTAAGGGAAGAAGTAGACTAAGTATCAAAAGAATCACAGCTGAGACCCCTGACTTTACACTGTCCCATTACAATTTGGGGACAGTGCACTGTCTTAATCTGACACAGCACTGGAGAAGTACAAACTTTCATTCTCAGTATGACTGTGTTTCTGAGTTTAATAAGGTCACTTAAGAGGTCTAGATTTTTAAATAATTTAGCTGGATAGCTTTATGTCCAGTTTAGAAATACTGTTAATTTCCCTTCTGTATGAAAGGACAGAAAAGCAAATAGCAGAAACAGTTATCCCAACTGCATCACTGTTCTCCTTCAATAGTGATCAATAGAGCACTAGTTTTTCTTTCATCTGTCACACATCCAACAAAGCTACGTGGCCCTGTCTTCTTGCTCTAAAATGTCTGAAATGTGTCATTTCATTTCCAAAACAGAATACACCTAATTAATAAGCTAAATACAGAGCAATCTCTTTTGACACAGAGTTTTGTGGCATCCTCTTTCTAAGCCAGAGAAAAAGAACCTCTTGTATACAAGCATCAAAATCCCTGATTTTTTAAGCACCAACATCCCTATTTTTTTAATGGCAGTCTCTTGCAATAACTTTCCCTATCATAATACATGTTTTACTCTTCCCACAGGCGCACGCACACAAAAAAAAAAGAACACAGCTGAACATCAACATATGCTCCTACTTACCATTTAAGCCTTCAGACATTTCCACAACATATGTATTTATTGCTGCTCCTCCATTGTCTTTTGGTGGATCTATAAAAACCAGCAATATTCCAACTAAGCGAGATAAATTAAATGGTTTTGTAGCTTTTGGGGAGAATTTACAGAAGGGAAAATTAACAGCTAACTGGAGACAGGTGCTTATTTAGACAGATAGCATCCTAGCTAGCCATAGCATCCTAGTTCAGGACAGCCGCAAATCACTCAAATTCTCCACTATGCAAAGCTGCCAGCTCACAACCCTACTGTGTATTCTACAGATGAAGAGTGACAAGTGAATCAGGCAACTGGGAGATGCCACAGCAAACATTTCAGTTAGTCTGAAGTGCCGTGGAAGGCTGCCTGATTATGGTTTCAGGGACATAGATCCTAATGGTCCTGTAATTTGGACTGCAGATAGGAAAAGATTATCATACTGATTTGCATGTAAGAATATTTCAGAATGATTTAAGGATAGGATTTCAAAAACCTAAATATTTTGGGAGAGAATAGAAGTCAGGAGTTCTACACTGAAAACTTAATCTCTTAAATTTTTAATACATCACTAGAAATTGAGTGCACTGTCCTCCCTGCTACAATATTCACGTACAAGATACGAACCTACAGAGCTATCTTTGACATATAATCCTACTCCTCTTTCTCAGAGCTGACTTAGAGAACAGCAGAATTAAAATAATGTGGAAAAACAACATTTTGGACAAATATAGACAGCATGATACTTCAACACAGAAGGGTACTGCTGCCACAACATTACATTATGTATGTGCTGGATGAAAGGGTGTTGGCTCTCAGGCAAGGGTTACATATCATATCACACCTGCTAAATAAAATGAGATTTATTATATGGCACGTAGCACTTTTTTGGTTGGAAAGTAACAAATTACTCCAAATGAAAAATAAAATTATCACGTTAATTACCAAGTATTAAAAAAAAAAAAAAGAGTATTACTGCTCAAAATAATGACTATTAAAGTTTTTATATATAAATAGATATTTTAGATAGTTTTCAATTTACAAATTAGGTATTTCTATTAACTTCATACATTATATATGATCCATAAAAGATCAAGTATCAGGCCCTGATGTAGCAAAGCACTCTGGAAAGATGCAAGACTCGACTTGCTAAGTACTACTTATACTCCAAAAGTAACTTTCTTATTATTAATGCAAAAGAATTAAACACACTATGAAACAGAAGTAGGTAAGAAGTTTAATTACTTGCGACAATAAATAAAACCTTTAACTGATTTTCTGCTAAAGTACTGCATCACATAATACTGTTTCACCTTCTCTTATTTCACAACATAAGGCTAAAAAAACCTGAGCCTAAGGAAAAGTTTCTCAAGATCCTTAGCGAATAAAAACATTTGTCTATCAAAACCAAACTCTTGGAAGAGATAGGTTGAACTTGGATCTTCTCTTTTGATAAAAATCCAGAGTTTTGTGGCATCTACTTTTTGTGCCAGAGAAACAGAACTTAGTACACAAATTAACACTACTCTTTTTTTAATTATTGTAGTCCCCTGCAATAACAGTCCCTATTACAATTTGTATATTATTCTTCCCACATCATTACACTATTATACTGCCACCCTAAGTATTTTGAATCAGTATTTTTCTTTTAGTTCCATGAAAATGAATCATAATGGCTCAGTTGACTGAAGCGTTACTGAAGTAAAACCTGGCCTTCTATATAGAAATATATATAGAATATTTTTTTTTATATATATATATTACCCCAGATTATTTTAAAACTCTGTGCATGAATTTTTCCTTTCACTGCGGGTTTTGAAGGTACTCCAGGCTTGTCTGGACAAGTAATGTATTCTACTGTCTCACTTGGACTGCTTTTCCCTTCTGAGTTATAGGCAATGACCTGCAAATATATAAAAAAAATATAAATTATAAGCAGAACAAACGCACCGGCTAGTGGTATGCTATTCACTGTTACTGGTAAAGTCAAATTAATTTACATGTATGCTTAGACAGATAGCTACATAATAAATTATCACAAGAACTAAAGCTATTATGTACCTTCATTTTACATTTTCATTAGTCCCATAGTTAGACAATCACTATACTGAAATTAAAAATTCCTGCAAATTGCCAGCAAAAAAAAAAATCCTTAAAAAACCCCACCTAATAACTGTGAAGCTGAAAAAAAAAAAAATTGTTTCACAAATCAAATAACCTTCCATATTCCCAAATTTCAAATGTTGGTGCATAAAGTTAGGCTTCTACTGAGGACACTTAAGAGTCACCTGACTGTAAAAGGTAATCAGGACATGCAAATCTCAGTGACATTAATGGAATCTGTGGGTGCTCAATATAGCACAAGCTACTTTATTTCAAGTCAAGGATCTGAAAACTTGTTTTTTTAAAACCATCTAAGATAGTCAGAAATTAGATAGGTCTAAGAACACCTCTTTTTTATCGGAGTTGCACAATTTATTGATAAGGAAATATACGCATGAGAAAAAGCCTTTGTAACAGCATGGGAACAAAAGATGATGAAAAAGACATACTGCAAAGAGGCCACTTTTAAACTTCCACTGAAAGAACTTGGAAGCATTAAAATTTTAATTGCAATTCCCCTCCCACTGAGGTAAAAATATTTTCATGTAATTAAGTAAAGAGCAAAAAGTGATGCTTTACTAGCTGCTAAAGAAACCTGAATAATAGGGATGAATTAAGGAGAGCTCTCATGCTACTATAGTACCTTCTTTTAAGGAAATACATTCAGACATAAAAAAGTGTTTATATGGGTAAGTTGTATTAACAACAGCAAAGGTGATATAAACTCTTCAGTCCCAGGGAAAATTATGGCAAAGGTTGTCACAAAAGTTATTTACAGGCACATGAAGGACAAGAAGGTAATTAGATTTATCAAGGGTAAATCATGTTTGACCAACCTGAGTGCCTTCTATGATGAAACAACTTGCTCAATAGATGAGGGGAGAGCTGTGGACATCATCTACCCTGATTTTAGTTTGACATGGTTTCCCACAACATCCATGTAGACAAGCTGGTAAGATATAGACAGAACAGATGGACCACAAGATGGGTGTGGAAAACCTGATAGAATGCCAGGCTCAAAGGGTGGTGGTTAATGGTTCAAAAGTAAATTAGCAGCTGCTCATGAGTGGGTTTCCTCAACAGTCAAGACAATGTCAGATACTATTCAATATCTTTAGAAGTGATCTGGATGACAGGAGTGAATGCACCCTCCCCAGGTTTGCATATGACACCAAACTAGGAGCAGAGAGACATATGCTGGAAGGAAGAGCCACCATACAGACTTCGATAGGCTGGAAGATTGCATCAACAAGAACTGTATGAGCTTTGACAAAGATAAAATCTTGCACCTGGGATGGAATAATCCCAGCAGCAGTACAGTCTGGGGTCTGACTGTTCAAGAGTGACTTAGAACTTAGAACAGCCCAGGTTGGAAGGGACCTGAAAGATCATCTGGGCCAACCTTTCAGGGAAAAGGGAGCCTAGATGAGATTATCTAGCACCCTGTCCAGTCGTGTCTTGAAAGCATTCAGTGATGGGGACTCCACTATGTCCCTGGGGAGGTTGTTCCAGTGATTGATCGTTCTCACGGTGAAAAATTTCTTTCTTATACCAAGCTGAAATATCTCCCAGTGCAACTTGCACCTATTGCCCCTTGTCCTCTCCATGTGGCTCCTTGTGAAGAGAGAGCCTCCCTCCTCTTTGTAGCTGTCCTTTAAGTACTAGAAAACTGTGATGAGGTCCCCCTGAGCCTTCTCTTCTCCAGGGAGAAAAGATCTAATTCCTTTAGTCTTTCCTTATAGGGCAGGTTCTCCAGCCCTTTGATCATCTTCGTGGCCCTCCTTTGGACCCTCTCCAGTCTGTCTGTGTCTTTTTTGAATTGTGGGGATCAGAACTGGACACAGTACTCCAGGTGCGGCCTGACAAGAACTGAATACAGTGGGATGACCACATCTCTTATCTCTGCTAGTAATGCCGTTGTGGATGCAGCCCAGGATCCAATTTGCCTTTGTTGCTGCAGTGTTGCACTGGTCATAGTCAGATTGTCCACCAGGACACCGAGGTCCCTTTCAGCAAGGGTGCTCCTAGCCCATACTAGGCTCCTTGGTTATTCCGACCCAGGTGCAGGACTTTGCACTTGTCTTTGTTAAACTTCATACTGTTCTTGCTAGCCCACTCTTCTAGCCTGTCCAGGTCTCTCTAAGATGGCTCTCCCTTCTGATGTGTTCATCTCACCACTCAGTTTGGTGTCACCAGCAAACTTGGTGAGGGTGCTTTCAATCCCATCGTCTAGATCATTTCTGAAGATGAACAGCATGGGGCCCCATATCGATCCCTAGGGGATCCTACTTCTGACAGGCTGCCAGCCTGAGTAAAAACCATTGATCACCACCCTCTGATTGTGGCCTGTTGGCCAGTTTTCTACTCATCTCGCAGACATATCTTGCCAGTTTGTCCAGGAGGAGGCTGTGGGAAACAGTGTTGAATGCTTTGCTGAAGTCCAGGTAAACAACATCCACTGCTCTCTCCAGGCCAACTGGAAGTGTTACTTTGATGTAGGAGGTGATCAGGCTAGTCAGGCATGATTTGCCTTTGGTGTCAGCTTTTCCCAATCACCTGCTTCATTTGGCTTGTAATAGTTTCTAGGACTCTTCCATTACTTTCCCAGGGACTGAAGTAAGACTAATGGGCCTGCGGTTCCCTGGGTCCTCTTTTGGGCCCTTCTTGTTGATGGGTGTGACATTTGCCCTCCTCCAGTCATCAGGGATATCCCCTGTTCTCCATCGCTTTTCAAATATTATAGATAGTGGCCTTGCAACAATGTCAGCCAGTTCTCTTAACATCCTGGAGTGGATTCTGTCTTGGCCCATAGATTGATGTGGACTGAGCCCCTGCAAGAGGCCACGGCCTAGCCCTTCCTCCACCACTGGTGGGTCAACACGTGCCTTGTCATAGCTACTTGATCCTGTGATCTGGGGTCCAGCTATGCCGGTAAAGACAGAGGCAAAGAAGGTATTAAGAACCTGTGCCTTATTGGCATTATTAGTAACTTGCTTCCCTGCCCTGTTTAGCAATGGGCCTATGTATGTCTTCCCTGTGCTTCTGCTTACTGCTCACGTATTTGAAGAACCCTTTCTTGTTGTTCTTGACATTTTTGGCCAATTTCAGTTCTAGCTGATCCTCAGCCTTCCCAACTGCACCTCTGCATGTCCTAGCAAGGTTCTTGTAGTCCTCGATGGCTATTTGGCCATGTTTCTAGAGCTGGTATGCTTCTTTTTTGCTTTTAACCACACCCAAAAGCTCATTGTTAAGCTAGACTTCACCCTGAGCTAACAAGTTCAGCCCTCAAGACCTATTAGAACAGGCTCAGCACTGTGGTAATATGAATGATTTACTAACTTGGGCTCAGTGCTATGCTAGCACTGACACATGTTCTTTTTTGATCAAGATTGCTCCTTACCCCAACACCTTCAGACACGTTTAGAGTCTATCAAAGAACCCTACAGCTACACTAAGTAATATTACCCATGTATATGCAACACAGAAACCAAATAAAAACCCAAAACTGTTAAGAACATTGACTTATGACCTGGAATTTCAAGATACCTGCAACTGTGTTATGCCCTTGCAGAGGTTCTTATTCCTTCTGCAGAGGCAATTAATGAAGCAGGTGTTCAGCCGATAGTTTTAAGAGATTGAAATTGTAAGAAACTGGCATCAGATTTGGTTTTCCTTAAAAAAGGCCCTCCCCACTTCTGAGTCAATCTCAAGCTACTCTGGTGCAAAAAAACTCCCAAATATATGAAAAAATCTTACCCTAAATTTATATTTTGTACTACGCCTCAAATTCTTCACCGTGTAGGTAAGATCGTCACCATCGTATTTTGGCTTGAAACCATATCCCTGCAGAATTAAGTAGGATTATTTGAAACATTGTATTTGCAGATCAGACCATGTAACATACATTCATACAAATAAATTAGTTTCAGACCTTAATTGTTAATGCTCCTCTGACAAAGTAATAAGTGCACCTTCATTGTGTAAACACCAGATTTTTTTTTGGAGAGGGGGAAATTAATTAACCATTCTCCAATCAGAAGAGGAGAAAAGAACACTAAAGAAAAACATATACAGCGTCAACAGAAATTATACCTAACACTTTCAAAGGGTAGAACAGGACTCATTTTAAAACAAAGGTGGTTAGGCTGAAATGACATCTAGAGGGACCACACTTCATGATGTAATTACTTTGATCCAACTCTTATAAAGCTTAACTTTCACACACAAATTCACAAAGTTAAAAGTAATTTAAAAGTCTTTGCAGGATTGGGGCTTAATAACACTAATAATGATTACTGTCACAATAAAAAGCTGAAAACTATGTGGCTTGGTCACAGCAATGAGAAGTCAATTAGCTTAATTTCAGAAAATACAGTTCCTTGTAGAATATTCTAGCAAAAGTAATCATTGTTACACTTAATACAATTATGTATCAAACACACATTATAGTCTCTTTTCTTATTGAGAATAAGTATTCTAAACTTACTGAGTTCTCATCCTCCATCTCTAATATATATGAGATTCCTTCATCTGATGGTGTTCCTGAGGGTTTTGTCCACTGTAGGGATAACCAAGTAACTCCAGCATTAATCAGCAAAGGACTTGCTGGTGTGGTTGGGGCAGTGCCTGAGGTATGATACAGGACTTCTTCACTAAAACCACTGTTTAAAACAGACAGTATGTAAACTAACTAGACACAATAGTTAATATCTAGAAAAACATAATTCTTACTAAACACAGCTATGACAGTTTCCTGGACGTGCGCACAACTGAAAATTGCAAGCTGGTACATGCAGACAACTTAACTTGCCCATGAGTCTGTCAGTAACTAAACATCTGAACAAGGTTAACATGTTCATAATTGCAAGATTCCTTTGTATGATATAATCACATTTTGCTAACCAAAACAATTTGCTTTTTCATATTAAGTCATTATTCTAAAACAGTAAAGCTCTATATGCAATAATGTACTAATACCACAGTGTCCTTCCTATTCAAAATGAAAACATAAGACATAAAAGCATATATGAGAAGACTTCAAAAAAAATTTTGCTTCCTAGGCAGCAATTATGTGCTTCAAGTGTACTGTGAAGCACTAGTTTCTCTAATGATTCAGAAAATAATAGAATAATAGCCTCATTCAATGTTAAGTTACTTTAACACTTGCCAATATGAAAGTCTTATTGCAGAACAAATGAAGTAGCTTGTACACCAGTGAATCTCCTAACACAACTGTTAACCTTAACTGATGATGCTTAGATATGCCTTGAAGTGAAAATACAAATAAGTTACATAAAAAGACCTATTGTGAAAGAGGGATGCAAAAGTCAGTAAACGGGTACTATGCTTGCAGAGATGGTCTAACATGTATCCAGCTAGACTAAAAAAACCCCACCTGTTCTCAGCTGGCATTTGCTGCTTCTACATCAGATCTGAAGAAACATTTACAGGCTTAAGAGCTAGTCTAGTTTTTTTAACCATATGAAACTAACATCAAAGATGTAATTTTAATCTAAAAGCTAGGCATTACCTAAGTGCACATCAGGAAGCCCTGAAAACAAAATTCTCCGTATGGTTTAAACAACAGTGCCAGTTAAATGTCTTCTGTGTCGGAACCTGACTTTCCTGAAAAATCTCAATACAAAGATACCCTCAACTTCACTTTCTCTCTTACCCAACCTACATTACAATACCGCACAAGTTGTAAATTTTGGTCTGCTCTAAAGTCTTTTTGGCATTAAAAAAAAATAAATAACAACAATTAAAAAAAAAAAATCTTACAGACCACACATTATCAAGACTGTCAATAGCACCCAAAGCAGACATACAGTCTGTGTGGACATGCAGACTGTGAAATAGATTGTGAAGCAAGAAGTGAAAAAGTGCAAAACAAGAGAAAACTTTTTAAATTTGGGGGGAATAGTATTTTTTTTCTTGCAAGAAGTCACAAACAAGAAAATCTCTGAAATGATGATGATATGATACATACAATATATCTACTAAAAAAAATTTCCAGCATTATACAGGTAGGCTAGAGGAAGCATGAAGAGAGGCTAGACAAATACTATGCCTATCTCTATTCACAACAAACTATTGAAGGAGTCACCTTACAAGCAGATATAAGGTAAAAAACACCACACCTTAAAAAGATTTAATCTCTTTACTTGATTGAACCACTCCAAAATACACTGAAATCAACTAAAAGAGTTCCAGTGATAACCACATTTGAATGACTCTTAAACAATTCACTTAAAAGTACAATAATGCTATCTATCTTTTAAATAGATTTTATTTTTCCAGTTTTCTTTAGCTACTGTTTCATGTGTGGTTAGAATTAAATTTAAAAATATGAGTAGCTCAAAGATAAAATATCTGTTGTTGTTGGTAAAATCATTTAGACAAAATTCTGTCTCCAGATGCCTAAGCTTCTCAATATTCTTCATAAGGAATAATCAGGCACTCTACCGTACTAAATACAATTTCAAGAGACTTCTTAATTGAATAATACCATAAAGACAATAAAGTGCATCTTTACAAGGCTATGAAATATTGATTTAAAAATCTATTTGGCGTGATTAGTTTAAGAAGGGTACTTAACTGATCAGTGTCTTCTACCAGCTTACACTGCAGGAATCTGTAATATGTGCAGGTATTCCTAGAGGGTACATTTACACTCAGACTTAAAAGAGGAACAGGAAGAGAGCCCAAGCACTGGACCCTGCTTAACTGCCAGCTCACTCCCTGCCTTTACTTTTTTGAACAGTTCCAACTAAATTTCATCAAGACAAAGTCCAGGAGCAACTCAGAGAATAATTCATTCCAGAAACATCATCCAGAAGGCAGTAACATAATAAAGACTGTGTCGGAGCACACCAAAAGTCATTCTAGCCCACTATAGTATCCTCTGACAGTGGCCCAAAGCAGGTGCCAAAGGAAAGACACAGGGACAGGCACTATACGCAACGCATTCGCTGAGTACTCTCCAAAGCCTCCCAACACATGCCTCAGATCCGAGCCAGCTGTAGTTTTCACATACTTAATACTCTGCAGAAGATTTCTTCTGCCCAGCATGAATTACAATCCCAGGTCTGGCTCCCTATTCTTTACACTGTCCTTCAACACTGTCCAAGCAGGCATTATTCCCCTAAGCACCTCCTTGTGCCAACTGAAGGACACACAACACGCATCCTCTATTTCACGCTATAAAAACACCACTCTGGTGAGCTACAGCACAATGCCCGTATTTCAAACACTGAATTAAAAAAAAAAATGCAAAATAGCAATTTTAGGCTGACGGCTAGAGAAGCCCTGTTTTTATGCCACATAGGACCTCAAGGTCCAAGTGCTACTAGGTAGTGTGGACACTGGCAGTCTGCTCTAGAGGTGATGAGCCCTGACAGTGTGACTATTAGCCAGGTTTATTTGCTTTGCCTAAAGACCAAGAAGTATTCCCAAGAACTAATGCACCCAGTAGTGCAAGCGTAACTTGAGAAACCAGTAATTTTGGAATTTTTTTTCAAGCTCTTACTTATATTCTCTACTGAAGTCGGATGTCATTCATTCAAAAATTCAAAACAAAGTTTGGTGCTCTGTAACTTCTGAAAAGTAGCAATTAAAAGTAAGAACCACATATGCTAGGCATTCATAATAAGCTCTAGAACTTCAAAAGAATTTGGTGATATGGGAATGTCATATTCTGTCCACTTCTCAGGGTAACAGGAGACTAACAGACACCTTAGATAAAGGGACATATCCAAGTAAGGGGACATGGCAAAGAGCACAATACAGATACACCTACAGGTGGCAGCGGGGGTTCTGCCAGACTTACTTCCTGCTCCAGCAGAGTTACTGACACCTCTTTATACTGTCATCACTAAAACTCTAAATTTAAGGAGGGCTGATAAGCCCTGGAAAATTGCTACACCAGCTTCAGGAACTACTTTAGATCTAGCACCATGTTAAACCTTCCTGGAACCAAGAGCAGCAGAGAGCGTGGTAGGAGGTACCCTCTGGTCAGCACAGCAGCAGCACAAGCACTGCAGCATTTAAACTATTCAATTCTGGCCCTTTGGTTGAGTTGCCATCTTTTAGCACGACCCCTAGAATTTAGAAGAAGTGTTTATTACATCAGACACAAAAGCCACAATTGCACTGAATGTGTGAATCTCTACAATGTAGTGCTTAGCCAAAAATTCTATTACAAGTACATGCAGTAGGAAACATGTCCAAGGTAGCAACTTCAGTGGTCAGCGTAGGTCTACAAAGACTGAAGCTAAAAACCAGCACAGCCTGAGCTGATTTCACATGAGAGCAGCCAGGTTGTCTGTGCCATGCTCGTGCTCCCCATTCTAGGGGCATCGTGTACAAATGTCTGAGGAGGCTGTTCAGGAAATGAGGCTAAGTCTGGCAGAAGTAGCTGTACTGTCTGCTTCTAAGAGGGGCTGAGATTTGTAGCATTTATATGGTAAGTATGCACATAACATAGTGGTTGTAGTATGTAGCCATACCATGCCTGGACAAAACGCATTATGCTGGGAATCACAGAATAGCTGAGGTTGGAAGGGATCTCTGGAGGTCATCTTGCCCAACCTCCCCTGCTCAGGCAGGGTCAAGTGGTTCATAGTACACAGGTAATCTGCAAACCGAATAATCCAATCACATACCGTGAATTAACTATGCAGTTGGACTAGATGATCATTGTAGGTCCCTTCCAACTGAACTATTCTATATTCTGTTTCATCCCGTGTGGACAAAAGACTTGTTTCTTTAAATGCCATCATATGTTTTTCCTAAACAAGCACACATGTGCATGCATATGCATTCCATATTTATGTATATAACAGTAACATTTACCTCATTCCCATGTCATTTTTGGCTGCTAGCCTAAAGGTGTACCCCATTGCTGGTGATAGTTTAGTGATCCTATACTGCTTCTGTTGGCCATAATAACACTGGCAAAACTCTCCATTTCCTTTTCCCTAAAAAGGAATAAGTTAGTTAATCACATTATTCGCTCTATTATATATGCATCCATCAATTAAAGTAACACACAAACGTGAAGTAAACTCATTTTTTGAAATGAAACAGAACTCAAGAATCTCCCATATAGTGAGGCAGTAGTATACGAAACTTTGTATGTATATTGAATTAGAGGCTTTTTTCCTTCCTTTCTGTTTCCCAGCTCAACAGGGTTGGAAGGAAGGAGCCATGAAACTTCTGCAGCTCTGCCATCTCATGATAGCTGTCCAGGTAGGGACTGAAAGATGCTTGTGGGGCACAGTAGATCCACCCCCTTTGTACAAAAGAAAGACTGTTACAGGAAAATGATCCTTCAGTGTCAGCTCTTGAAAGAAGTATTGGACTACAAGTGAAAAAGCCGCTATTAGAAGTGACAGAATCACGTACTTAAGATCCTATTATTTTATACTCCCCAAGAAAAAAATTGGGCAATAGCCATATTTTCATAATTGCTTCAGGAATTACGTATTTGTCACATGCCTCTAAACAGAAGTCGTAATTTTCACACAACTTGATGTGCACAGTCACATACAACTACTTTTTAAAAAACTACAAAATTAAAAATAAAATAGAATAACTTGCTTACTTCATCCCATTCTAAAAGGTAACTGTGGATTTTAGAACCATTATCACAAGATGCCTGCAACACGAAAAGAACAAAATTAGAGCTCTAACTGGATACAAGACCACTTAAGGAAAAAAATTCTTGTATAGGTCAAATCATGACAAAACCAGTGGAGGGCAAATGATGCTCACCTTAGAGGATTGTTCTGCTTGCCAAGACAGTTCTAGTTCAGTTTCCATCCAATGAATGCTTGTATCGTGTTTATGGTTTTGTTTTTTAATTTAGACCTTGAAAAAGTATTCTGGCAGCAGTGTAAAATGCTACAGTATTTTTCTGAGCAGCTAGACTGCAGGTCTGCTCAAATCTCAGTCTTTCCAGACCACTTCATTTGCTTTGCACAAACAAACCTTTGTTCAATAATGGAGAAAGGAATTGGTTCCACAGTACAGTAGAGGACTGGAACTCGAACCACTGTCTCTCATTCAAACTCAGTAACTTTATCTACAAAGACTCCTTGCTTTTCTGGGAATCCTTCTCTTTTTACTGAAGTTCACATTTAACCCAGTACATGTATTTCCAGTCACAGAACTGTGACTGAAATTAGTATGTTTGACAAAAATTTTCTATTTCAATGAACTGGCATTTTATTGTCAAATCCAAAACAATTCTGAAGAGTTTAAAGTATTTATTTTAAAGGTTTTTAAACAATTCTTACCTTCCACTGCAGAGTAAGAGAATTTTTGGTCCGATTAGTTATCCTGGGCAGATTTGGAGTATCAGGTTCACAACTTGTTGTGGTAAAACTCTCTGCTTCTGAAGGGCTCCCCTTTACACAGTTGCATTCTACTTGAACTCTGAAGTGGAAAAGAGCCAATAACGTTTTGGTTCAAAATCTGTATATACAGTTTCCAAAGAAAACTGAGTATTGAGAATTAAGTTACTGCCTTGCTACCTCATTGTTAAAATATCACTATTATAAATAAATAACGGGTGGAAGCATCTTGGTCAATAGAAGTAATGCAAAAGAAAAGAGTCCTTTACTTTGGATGTACATCACTACCAGTCAGCCAGCTTTAGTCCCACAATTACATTTGAAATCTGTCTTACTTGCTGTACTCTGATTGGGAAATAATGGTAACATCTTGCAGGCTCATAATCTGTTGTAGACGTATTAATTGATATTATAAATAATTATTCTTCTGCAAATGCTTTTGTCAGATGAGCACAATGAAGCTGTTGATATATTTTCAGAGTACCTTCTGCACTCCTTCAAGACCTTGCTGAGTCTGGTCACCCTGTCCTTTCCTTTAGGAAGTTTATGAATTAACTCTCCATGTACTTCAGAAGAGTGAATTCTTGCTTCTGTCTCAAAGAGAAATGGTTTGTTTTTCTAACAGCTTTTCTCCAAAATTGAATACGGGATTATTATCTGGCCTCCCCCTGCGCTCTCCCTCCTCACCCGTGTAGCTATGCCTTGTCTCCTCCTTGGGTGAACCTGCACATTACTTTCTTCTAATTCACCTGTTCCTTTGAAAGGAAAAAACAAAACCCCAAAAAAACCTTTCCTCTGATCACTGGTATAAGACCTGTGTTGCCTGCTTATGAAGATGCAAAAGTCCTTATATGTTCTTGTTGCATGAACAGCAAGTCACAGGAAATTTGGCTTTGTAGACTTCATGAACAGGGAGAGGGAGACATTTGAACAGTGACTAATGTTGCACATGAAGTTGTTTGTGTTTGCATACAGTTGCAAATATGTAGTTTGTCAGTTATCTTCATAGTTCAGTCTTTCTGGTCTTCACTGATTTTGGGCACTGTTTGCACTGGTGGAATTCTGTTTAACTCCCAGTTCGGGAAAAGCTTAGACGGCTAAGTCATCTATTCCCATGCATTCTCTTCAACGACCAGAATTAAGCAAGAAAGAATCTGAATGTAGCCTGATAAAAAAGGACTTATATAGGCAAACAAATTCCTAGGCTCTGACCTTTATGCTCCCTACATTTTCAACTTAAACATTGTTGGGTAAAGTGCATAAACACTACTTAAAACAGGAACAAAATCACAGGGAGAACACTTGCATATGAAGAGCTTTGAGTCAATTTATCATTCATCCTTCTCCTGAACCTGTGCTGCAGGCCATATAGTGGCCCAAATTAAATGAGGTGTGCAATGAAGAACAGACCAACCCTCTTTTGCTTCCAGTTTGGCAACGAGCTGTGCTGGAAAACAGTACTAGGAGGTATACTGTTTTCCAATACCCTGGAAAACAGTACTAGGAGGTACAGACTCCCTCACACCGAGGACCAGGAATGTAGCTCTCCCATTTGAGCAACTGCTAGTCAAAAGACTTACACAACAGAAATCCTCCTCCTCCCTACTGCCGATGTTCTAAAGCTCATGTGGAAAGAGGCACAACATTTCTGACTTGGATCCTTACTCAGACACACTTCTGTTCCCTGTGCTTTCTACCAGTTGCCTCTAAATTGGTTCCCTGGTCAGTACACAGGAGTCTTGGGGTTCTCCATACAGTCAAAAGAGGCAAATCCCTCACATGCTGCACATTCGGTCACTTCTAAAGTTGTACTCTCCACCTGCAATTATTTCTTGAAAAGGCAGTACTTCTAAGGTGGCCTTCACGATGTTACGTATTTATAAACTGCTGTATTCATACTGGTTTTTTTAAACCAAGAAATAAGACAGTATGTAAAAAAGGAGGGAAGAAGAACACCTAGCTACATCTTTCCAATCCTATGCTATTTCCTCAGTAGGACATAGCGAAGCAGCAAATTCTGCTAGAAGGGTAGAATTACATTAAGCTAGGGGCTTATTTAGTAATGCATACAGGGTCAGATCACTGGTCTGCTGGAGCAAAGTGAAAGCAGCATAACCTGACCTTCAGGTGGCCAGCAATGAGCATGTTCCTGTGCAAGGTACCTCCCTCTGCTGCCTCTGGGAAACAGAGAAAGCAAGCACCATCTGTGCCTGGCCCAAAGGACAGAAAAATGTCACTGTTCTGGCACGACATAAGAAGTAAAGAGCATGGATGTTGGATGAGAGCGCAACAATTTTCTGTTTTCCAAAACGGACTGAGTGGTCAGCTAAGCCAAAAATGTTGATTTGTGACTCAAAGGAGGGTGAGATGTGGTAAAGAATCTCTGAAGACTTATGCAAATATACAGATCCAATGAAACTTTTAAAATATTTCCACTGAATTTAATGAATAGAGAAGGAGATACTCACTTTGCATGGTAATCAGTTGCTGGCCTGAGATCATTTACAGTAACTTTATTTTCTTCTCCACTGGAAAGAGATACGATTTGGTTTAAAAGACTGTTTCAGAATGCCATACATTTATAAAAAGACACACATCATCTAACCCATCTGCCTAACACTCCTTCTAAGAAATATATTTGCTAACAGTTTATTTCTGTTGCTAAATATAGTAAAATGAAAATGCATTTATCTTTGAATTTTAGGGGCTTCTCGCATTTGATTCCTGTTGTTTTGCCCTGGTGGTTTTAGGGTTTTTTTGTTGTTCTATTTATTTGGGTGTTTTTTAAGAATAATTATTTTCCTCTTTACTCAGTAAGATCAGCTGCATGTGTACGCATGTATTTTACTACACAAAAAACATGGAAGTACTGGGGCCTTTAGAAGCTCAGTTCAGCCTTGCAAAAACGATTATCTAAAACTGTAAATGACTGCATATACCTACTTGTTAGAGCCCAGTAAGCAAAAAAGGCACCTCAGTGACATCTATTAGTCTGCTTTTACTGACATCACCTTATGTTAGCAAAGCTCATTTCTTTTCCTCTAAGCTTCTAGGACAGGGATAACCAACTTGCGATTCATGTACTGCTTCTAAGAAATCCATGGAAGGTGACTAAGATAAACTAGCTAAATACAAAGATTTATAATTATTAGAGAGCTTTACACCTTTAATGGTAAATTTTCTGTTGTTTTTCTCCAAGTTGCAAAAAAACGATTGAAAACCATCGTATTAGGAATGAAACAATTGAAAAGTTTTGTTTGTTTTGCTGCTGCTAGAGTTGTGTTCTGTGCGAATCTACTAACTTCATTTCGTACCTTAAGACTGTCTCTTACCAAGAGCATTTTCAGGGAAGGGAGAGATAACCTTACTGGGAGCAGAAGCATGTGCTGAAGTAAAGAACTACAAATACAATTTGTATTTCTCACTATTTGTATATCTCACTAATTGAGAACCCATAGTTTCTAGTGCAGCTGGTTGAAACACAGCTAAGTGATATTAAAACATGCTTCCAACATCTAAGAACAAAGTCTTTAAATTCTAACTGATGATAGAGACTTCAGTAATAAAACAGAACCAATTCTACTGAAAAAAGTAGCTTGTTTCAAAAGAGAAGTTGCACAAAACTTCCGACTACTTAAATCTCTGGACAACAGGCAGATTTTTAATGAGGTTTTAGGCCACATAATTCAATGCAACAGCAATTAAATAAAAATAATGAACACCTACATGTATACAGTTTTGTACTTTCCATCTTTTCCAGTATTTGAAATCATTACTTCGTAAGTATAAACATCTGGTACATTATTCTTGTCAGCGTCTTCTCTGGTATCACTGGATGGAGGGGACCACATAAGCAGTGCTGTTCTTGCCTGAATGTCTGATACCTGTAGAAATACAACTTTGAAACCTCTGCCATTTAAATGGTATTGTATATAAATGCTGCTTTGCCATATAGGACCAAATAAAAGAGAAGAAAATCATACAGCATTATCATATCAGAGTATTTATACTGATCTAATAGCTATTAATTAGTTTTTACAGATGAAATCAAGCTGGAAATCTAAGAAATGTCATGAGAAAACTGCAATCCTAGGGCCCAGGGCTGAGTGCAAACAAACTTCTAAGTAACAAATGCCACCTAGTGGGCTACATAAAAATGACTGTATAATTTATGAAGCACAAGAGATAGCAAGCATATATTGTGAATCAGTCGTTTTATTAAATGGCAGCGTTTCAGACTTTTTTTTTTACGTGACCAGTACTATGATTTTTTTTTTAATACCTTCTTGCTGACTCGGTTTTCATATGAAACATATAGAAGCTCAGGAATTTCTCCAAAATGACTGGCATTACTGTAGCAGGTACATAAAGAAACTCTGCTTTGGGCATTTAATTATGACTGTGACAAGTAGACTCTCCCATTAGATTAGAACCTATTTGGTTAACTACCCCAGCAAATTGGTTTTGAGCAGGATATTAATAGGCATACAACTACCTGAGGCTCTAATCTAGTACTCTGTTAGCGAACAGAATATTACAACGTGTAATGTACTTTGAGCTCAGGCACCTGCGACGAAGGCATGCTCACAAGGTCCATGTACATATACATACATATATATACACACATACATATACGTATATATACATGTGCACACACACACATATATATAGGCAACATCCTATAAACAGTATTCTTGTGGTGGTGCTTGCCTGCACAGCCCATCCTTTGCAGAAAGGCCTGGATAACAGTTGGTGTGATAGAAATATGAGCATGAACAGTGTGTGTGAATGCAACACCTCCAACTGTCTGAGAAGTGTTGGCCCCAACACGCTCATTGTGCTAATGGTGGCGACCCTCGGGTGGATTACATGGTAACTGGGGAATCACAAAGAGACTTCTGAAACGAAGAAGGAATCGGCTTCAGAAGTATAAAAGCAGCACGAAACATTCGTATCAGCGATAAAAGATGCTGGAGTGGAACAGAGCAATGATCAAAACCTGGCCTGACAGTGTGAGAAATTGCCCTGCCACCACTGCTGCCTCCATCCAGGCCTGACGGATGCCCTGAGTAGCCGCACCCCAGCTGGTGTGACAGCAGTTTGGGGTGCAGCAGACAGGGACCCACAGATCAGGTGGGCACATGTGACCTGGTGGAGAGCTTTCTCAGTTGCCTGTGGATTAGCAGATTGTAGGGAACAACAGATTTTAAGGAATAACACAGTTACATGCAAAGCTAAAGCACCCATGTCTCCCAAATGAGATGTGCAGTTAGGGGCACCCACACTCCCAGAAGAGTGGGTGCTGCTTGAAACCCACACGTGCTGCAAGGGGCTGAGGATGCTCATATTTCTGTAGGTAAGTGCACGGGTACGTGCGTGTGATTACAAATTTTTAGGATTTGTTATAGAAGGAAGTCTAGAAATTTGTGTGTGTTTATTAATATTGTACGTCTACTATTGTAGTTTATATGTTGCACCCGCCTAGTATTTCCAGTCATTTCTCGTTTAAGTCTCTCATTTAAGGGAATTGAAAACACATTTCATTATATGAAATGACTAGTTTTACAATATGACTGTAATATATGTCTATTTTGGGAATAATTGCTTTTGGAAATCTATTACCAGAGTATCAGAATCAAAATGCTATCTTCACAACTGGTGCTCTTAAATTGTTATAATCTACTGAACGAAAAACCTGAATGGGCCAACTTCAAGAATGAAGCAGAGAGGAGATGACTTACTGCTAACAGACAAACAGAAAGGAGGAAAAAAATCAAACAAGATGAGCCTCAATGTCTTGGAAATAATGTCACCAAGCCCTTATACACTAACAGGACTACACATCACATCCCGAAAGGGATCAAATACTAGTAAGATTACCCACTGAAGTTCTTGGAAACACAATTCAAAGTTTGGTAAGAGAAATTCCACTATAATCTTGATGTGGTCACAAACTACACTAACACTAACTACAACCACCTCAGTACAATTCTAGCATTTCTGGAAGTCTTTGGAGTTGTGGGAAGCACCTGGGGTGGTAAAAGGTCCCTCTCAGACAACCTTAATCCTTCCCTCCCGGGTTGCAGAAGGCAGCAGGGGATACTGAAGGAAAGAAGCGTAGGTTCCTGGAGGACCTACTATGCTCCAGGACTAGTAGGTCCACTGTAAGATGATCTATTCCTATGTTTAGCTCCCTTAACAGTTCAAATTTTTTTCCTAATGCCCAGGCAGTCTCTCTTACTACCAGCTATGCCTACTAGTACTCACCACCATGGAGCTGGACATTAGATCTTAGTCTGTCTATCTTCTTTTACACCAAAGAAGTAATGCGGTTGGTATGAGTGAAAGGTGGCATCTTACTGGAACATTAAAAGATTAGAGGTTTCAACTGTTCAGTACAGAGAGAGCAGGAACAGTGGGAGGGAGATTCAAGACAACGTTACAGACTACAGAGTAACAGAAAACTCACAGGACTTTGACCAGTAAAATTTAATCCAGAGTATTAGTGCAAATCATTATGTACCAACAAGTGCCAACAGAGAACAGGGTGAAATGTTCTTTAAGTCTCTGACTGGATGAAAAATTGTTATCCCAAGTTACTCCCACAGTGCAACGTTTGCTGGTCAACTCATGTAAACATTCCATAAGACTTCTAAAATAATAGATGACAACTGTTAACACAGTAACTGTAACACAATGACGCAGTATCATGTACCAAGCTAAAAAACAGTGACTATGTAGGTTGTTCTGGTTGTTTTACTTTGTGTAAACAGAGTATGTGACTAAAGAATATTATGAAGAGCTGAAGCTTTGCTGTGGCCAATTTGCCAAAGCTTAAAAGCAACGGTCAGTGGAATTGAACGTGATCAAAAATGCAAAGTGAAAAGTATTCACAGAAGCTGGAATTAAGGACATCCTTATGGTGCATAAAAAGCTGTAATGTATAAAAACTATATAAATTTTCTATACACACACATGCACACATATGCATATGGGGAAAAGGAAGAAATATGTTAGCAAATAAGCTACAATTGATCAGAATTTACAGGAGAAGTTAGAAGTTTCAATGAAACAAAAACAGCTAACAGGATTAAAGACGAAAGATATTAAAAAAACCCCAACCCCAAACTATCAGGAAAGTTCCAAGTTGGGCACTACTCTGTTATTGGTGGATGTAGAAGTTGAAACTGTAAAACATAATGGAGGGAAGAAAGAAGCATTTAACAGTGATTTCCATCCTGCATTTGCAATGAGGCAGAAATCCGTATCCATCTTATTTAACCCTGTTGCTGGACTAGAAAATTTACACCCTACAAAGTTACTGGGCCCAGTAGATGGTGCCCAGTGAAACTGAGCACTCTGCAATAAACCAGGTGGTCAGGTTAAACCACTGGTTCCCCGTCAGTGAGGTACACTCACATTAAACCAAGAAGTTGCAAGAAGCCAAGCCTAAACTAGTAAGCCCTGCTGAGGAACACTGGAGAGTGAACTACTTATGGAACAAGTGTTAAGAGGCAGGTACCTGAGGGCCTACAAGAAGGCGCTCATGGGCAGAAGGAACAGAACAAGAGGTACAACACTTAACTCTTTGGCAGGTATAAATACTGGAAATAATTTCCAACCCTGTCCCTCATACACCTGAATCCCCCTGAAGCTGCTACTTTCTTCATTTCTGCAACCCCAGAGGATGGGGGTGGGGGACTGTGGGGTCCCCATAATACAGCTTGTGTGTGAGGGGTCAATAATCAGACAAAAAGAAGAGAGGCAGTAGGAGTGGGACTGAGTAACATCAAGGTTTTTCTTCTGCACCTACACTTTATATAGTGTTACCTATTTTGTAAGTTCTGGAGCTTTTCAGTAAATTCACATACAGGTGGATGAGTATTTTCAACCACTCTCAGTTGCTAAAAACATAAAAAAAATCACAGCTGCAAGCACTGACAACAGAGAATCAGAGAATGTCATTTAAGTCCTTTTCAACTCATTTATAAAACATTTGGTACTGCTTTTCAGATTCAACTTCCAGCCAAGAGAGTGATTCTTAAAGACAAGTCTAGGTCCAGCTATATTCTTCCTCACCAAACTATTAATAAGGGACCAAAGCAAAGTATTAAAAGATTAAGAATTGCTAAAATGAAGATTTCCTGTAAAAAACTTTTCATTATTGTGTATATGCACTATGGCAGTCTTAGATTACATCAGCGTATACTATTTTAACACAAAACTCCAGCTTCACATGATGCAAGCACATGACAGTAATTACTAATTGCTTCACTAAGAAGCAATTATTCAATATTGTCCTTTATCCTTGATGTTCAATAATATCCCAATACTTGACTTTTTGAACACTACCCAGAGCTCTATTATGGAAAAGAATTACTAAAGTTTCAGAAATTCCCGTCAGTTCTCAAGCACAAAACACTAGCATATTTTCAAAAAATCTCTGCAATATAAGGAGGAAAAAAAGTATTTTTGAAGAACAAAGATTAAGATCAGAAGAATCCACTATTCTTAGGCGCTCCGAGACACTCAGGAGTGGCTTTTTCAGAAAACTTGGCATTACTTATTACTTTGTATGCTTATTCAAGCAGCTGCAATTGATTTTGGTTGCAGCTCTGAGCACTGTGTACTTCTGCAAAGCAGAGTACAATACTTGAATCAGGCCCTAGCACTGAGGAAACTAAAAGATGGGCATGTCTTCATTAGCAGTCCAGCTCGCAAAAGTGAATCTCCTCCTTAACTGTACTACACATGCCATTTGGGTCAAACAAAAAAGCAGTTTTAGCATGTGCAAACTGGATTGCATTCAGACAGTGACACAAGGTACTTGACTGGTGAGTGAGATGCATCACGTTCCAAAAGCCCACCAGCATACACAGAACATGCATGAACCACAAAACATGATGCTCTCCCAAGGGATTTACATGCTATATAACCAACTCAAATTCTGAGTTCCTATTGCCTCTCCTTATTAAATACTCAGCCTTCTGCTCCATTCTTCATTTTGCTTTTGCCTTTTCAGGTCCCTTTGTCTTCTCTTCTGCTTGCTTTGCTATTTGGTTAATGGACATGACAGCTGGTGAAGACTCTGCTCAAACGCTGAGGACTCAGCATGGTACAATCTGCAGAACCACTCCAACTTACATCTAGGTATAGAAAGTTCAAGACCTCCCTAAGTAGAAGGGTCATCTGGTGGCAGTACCACGTTACCAACTTGACTTAACACTGCCATGTACGAAAGGATGGAGGATCCATACAGGGAAAAGTTTAAGAAAACGAGAACATGTTCATAAAAACACCTAATGGGAGTCTGGAGGCAGCAAAGCTGATGTGCCCCATACTGCACATGATGTATGAGTGAAAGCACACCATGGAGCCCACCACCTGATTTACATGTGCATGCCCTGCACCTGGACATTAAGACATGGGACAACCCACGACAGGTCACAGCCTTCAGCTCTACTCAAGGCTTTCTGGAGCAGGATATGGTGCAATGGACACTGTACTGGACAGCACCTGTATGATCATCTGATCATCTGACCACCACCACAGCCAGTATCCAGTATTGCCTGTGCCAGCACTGAAGTTCAACCAGGGAACAGGGTGTTGATGATCCATCAAGAGCAGCATCATGGCACAATCCCCGCAGTGAATGTTTCAAGCAAAACATTAGTCAAAAACCTGCAGGAATATTTCTGATGAGAACTACAAACAGAAGGTGTGAAAAAACACAATCTCCTGGTTCATTTGTGGGAGACTGAGGAAAATGTTTCCTTGGAGAAACTGTGGGAGGGTTTCTTCTGATCTTGCAAGGCCTAAGTAGGTAACACAGCCTCCCTTTCTCTTATCATGTCACACTCCCCCAAGCTGCAACATCAGCTAGTCTTCCACCCACCCACAGCCCTGACAGTCCCTTGCCTTCGCAAAGCATAAGCCTCACCGAGTGCTCGAAGTTTGGCTTTTTGCCTTGTGTACACTGTCTAGTCTGTAGCAGACTACTACTGCCTAAGCCTGTGATGTCTTCTGAGGTCTGCAAGGAGATCACTTGTAGGCACACAGCTACATGCAGTGACATTCAAGTAAGGACATGGTGGGGAGGGGAAGTAGCATGCTTGCCTAAAAGGCATGGACAGTTGAGTGTTGAGGGTGGAAGGAAGTGAAAGAAAACAAGACAGTACTGGCACTCCGTTGCTTTTTCATGTGTCATTAGCAATGTAGCAGAAGACACCACCTGTTGATCATACTTCTCACAGTCTCACTCTAAACACCCCAGGAAGCTCAGAGTTGTCATTCCCTTTGGCAATGCAGCCACTGATGACACTCCAGACTTGGATGGCATCCTGTATGCCCTGACCACTGGCAGAGGACTGTGCATACTTCTTCGAGAGAACTGGTCCCCCTACTTCTAGTCAGGATAGAAAGGATCACCCACATTCTCACGAAGTTAAGAAGAGCATAGCAGGCACTCATTATTTGAGGGCCGCCGAGAACGCTGTGGTCCAGCATGCCCCAGTGACAGCACTATCTTGCAGTAAGCTAACCTTGCAGCAAAATTTGTTTCTGCATCCATTCTGATGCAGTATGTGGCTAAACTAGGCACACGCTCCCTTGTTGGGACAGACTCTCATGATTCAGAGTCAAAAGGGGTCAAAGACACTGGTCCCTTTAGCTGCACAGCCCTGATCCATTCCCAAAGCAGGTATGTTTTGTACAGTGAATGGCAGGGAGCACACAGAAAGAACAGCATGTTGCTGGGAAAAAAACCCAACAAAAACAAGAGGCAATTGTAATTTTGAACACAATGGACCAGCATTAGTACGAAATCTTCCCTGCTTCATTTTGAGAACAGAATATAATTCTTCTAACAGTATTTTGATGCGTATTTTCCTAGAATATGTGTGTATATGTATATTATTTCTATTTTTTTACATATATATATTAATAGCAAATGACTCCCTTAAATTCTTTCTAGCATCATCCTACAGTAAGCCTGGAGCCTTTAGATCCACTGCACAAGTCTCTACTGCTTGATCTAACAGAGTGATAGCAATAGGTGTTTGCTAACATCTGTGGAGACGAGATGCATAGCTGGGCAGTGAAACAACAGGCAGCAAAACAAAACCTCTGCTGGTAGGACTTCACAGGTACTTGCTGTCAGAAGAAAGATGAGATGTGGGAAAGCTGAATTACATTCCAGGTCCTGGATAAAAATCAGTGCTATCAGATGTAGACTTACATTCATTTCTTACAGCCATATCCCCTTCTGACCCTTTTTCTCCAGCTTCTCGAAGTCTGGTCCTAATCAACGGTTCTTCATTCCAGTCTGTACTCCTTGTTTACTCCACCCCAGACTTCAGCCCTTTACTCTCTCAATAAAGTTCTGGTATCCTTGTCTCACCAATCTTCATCTTTCTCAGGCAGTTTCAGTCTCTTGCTACTACTGCCCACTATCCCCACCACTCTCAGTCTTACTAACAAGACATTCAGACTCGCATCACCCTTTCATTACCAGTCTGCTTGTAAAAATAACAAGCAGAAAAGTTACCCGCTCTCTCCATCTTGTTCTTCCAATAGTTCACACCTACTATTCTGTTTGTTCCTGGCCTCATTTTCTCACCTTAGACTCCTCATCTATTTTAGGATCCCTCAAGTCTTGACTGTCCTTTGGACCTGTGCTCCTTGTCAGAGCTGTCTCTTCTTCTCTCACTTCCTTTCTGCCCCACACCTTAATCTCCCTAAGCTTTCTTTTCAGTCCCAGTTTCTTCTCCAAAAATTCTTTTTATTGCCCCTCCACTAGCTCAAATCACCAAGGTCATCCTATAAAGAGCTACTAAACTTGATTGTCCCAGCTACTATCTACACCATGGCAACAGCTAGGATCAGCTAACTCCTCTCCATTTCTTCATCTCAGCTCTCTCAACCCTTTGTTATAAGATTTGATTCAGACAGCTTTCACCTCCATGCTGCTTAGCCGCCAAAGACAGCGAGGCACTGAAGACATGTTAACCCATTCTGACGCTTGGACACAGCAGGATGCCAAGCATTCAGGACTTCCTCTGTAATTACAATCCCTGCTCAGCCCTTGGAACACCACAGAATCACAGGATGGTTGAGGTTCGAAGGGACCCCTGGAGGTCATCTTGTCCAACCCCCTTGCTCCAGCAGGGTCACCTAAAGCCAGCTGCCCAGAACCATGTCCAGACAGCTTTTCAGTATCTCCAAAGAGGGAGTCTCCACAAACTCTCTGGGCAACCTGTGCCAGTGCTCAGTAATCCTCGCAGTAAAAAAGCATTTCCTGATGTTCAGAGGGAACCTCCTGTGTTTCAGCTTGTGCCCACTGCCTCTGGGCCTGACACTGGGCACACTGAAAAGAGCCTGGCTCCATCCTCTTTGCACTTGCCCTGCAGATATCTACATACATTGATAAGATCCCCCCTGAGTCTTCTCTTCTCCAGGCTAAATAGTCCCAGCTCACTCAGTCTCTCCTCACCAGGCTGTAAAGCAACATATAAAAGAAGAATCAAGACTGGGGCACTAAAACCAGGACCAGGTTGTCTGGGAGGTGAAGGGGAGAAGGTATGTAGCTGATGAATGGCAATGTTGAAAGTCCGATGATCATTCCATCTGACCCTTTTTCCTTCTTCATCTTCTTTTCTCTGTATGTCCTTCCTTCCATAAAAGTTTTCTCTTCTTTATTAGTTGGGGGGGGGGGGGGGGGGGAGAAAGAAAAGAAAGAAAAGACACCTAAATCAATACGTTGGTAAATTCTCTCCGGCTTTTCCTGGTGAGTACTTAGCACTTATTCAGCATTGTTTAGCTACAGAAGGGCTGGAAACAGAGAAGGATGAAAGCAGGGCGCCTGATTATGGCAGAAGTAGCTGACTGGACAAACCCATGGCAAGCTCCCCCTGGAGTTTCAGCTGTATGGACTTTTTGTAGTTTACAAGAGGGAACACAGACTGTTTTTACTCAAGCAAGCTGGTGGACTGAGGATTGACGTGCAGATTTTTGAAAAGCTGTGTAAATCCTCACAGAAAGGTCAGGACCAGGGAAGGTCCAGATGATGAACGAAAAGAACACAGGCCTGTTCTAAAACGCAAGAAACTGCTAAATTTGGCAACAGTGCTTTAAAGAGTCTCTACACAGAGGTTATGAATTACAGTTTTACAAACTGAAAAGAAATTGGTAGATTTTCAAGCAGGTAAGTCAGAAACCCACTGCTGACAGTCACCTCCTTTGGTGAATTTTATGTCTCTCTTCCCTGGAGGTGCCAGAGATCCTTAAAGAGAAATCTGCCACAGTTTTTCTTTACTTTTCAAATAAGATTTTCCAAAACCTCATTTTTGGTGAGGTTTCCAAGACCTCACCAGGTATCTCTCATGCCTAGAGATACCCGGTGTGTAAAATTGTTTCCTGAAGAGTTAAAACTAAACAACATTACAGGAAATAGAGAACATATTTTACAGTAAGAGATGATGTTAAGCATCATCTTAAGTTAAGCATCATCATTACGTTACTGGCAACGTTACAAGCTCCTTCTATATATATTTTTTTATAACTCTCTTAGTATTGAGATTTCACAGAGTGGCCAAGAAGAAGAATTCCACATATGAAGTATCAAGACAATTTTAGCTTCATAAATGTTAATATACTAAAAATTACTTTGGTCATTTACATTTCAGTGACTGGAAGTTAAGTGAGTTTTCTTTAGTGCAGGAAGTTAAAGATCCTTTAAACTTGGAGAGAGAAAAGGATGTGTAACTGTATAAACTAGCAACAGATACATTCTGATTTTATGGAAAGCTTTATTTACTTACCACTGGCTTGGCTATATTAGAAAGAAGTGCTTCAAGTGCTTTTGTTTCTTCATCCTTTTCTTAAAAAACAGAATCAAAGCAAACAAAAAGTACCCATGAATATTGTTCAGTGACTTTACAGTGAAATAGCTCTTCAAATTCAACAACTGCGCATAGACTAAAGTATGTATAAAACAGAACACCTTGCCAACTTGCATTCATCTACAGCAACATAAAACTAAAAAAGGTCCCAAAGAAGTTCTTGATATAAACTATTCCTAAATCTGTTCTATGATTTAATGGAATACAGAAAGCCAAGTTATCTTTTATTAATGTAAAACTTTAAACAAACTACTGCTCTGGAGAACTTGAGCTCGTGGCTGAGATACCTCCTATAGATTTCTCTTTGTATGTAGATGCAGTCAAATTACAGTACTTTAAATATGTTATTGCACATCATGTGGAGGACTACTGGTAACACCATTGGCCTCCCTCAACTGCAAGGGCAAACCTTAGCTTAGCCTTCAGTTATATCTCAGGGCAAGAATCTAAGGTGTTTTGTTTCAGCTTAAGGTATAGCTGAGCTTTATAGAGGACTAGGTAAGTTTATAGAAAGTGTTTTATGTGCCTTCCCTCATACAATATTAAAATTTTATTATCTCAATAGTGTAAGTGAACAGGCTACTCAGTTTTGAAGGTGTGGCCAGGCATTTTTAATTTACTTAACCTGCCTTAAACTAAAAAGAAAAAGAAAAGCAAAGCCTAATAAAATTCTTTAAAAAACATGTCAAATCTATTTACAACTTTATATTTCTAAGTTTATAATAAACAGAAGTCGGAAATGTTATCACAAGTCTAAGTCACAGCATATAATTCTCCAAAAAGCAAAGAATAAAATTCTTTAAAAAACATGTCAAATCTATTTACAACTTTATATTTCTAAGTTTATAATAAACAGAAGTCGGAAATGTTATCACAAGTCTAAGTCACAGCATATAATTCTCCAAAATGCCTCCTGAAATAAATAATTTTGAAAAGTGGACTTTTCAATTTTTCATATAAAATACTTCTAAGGAACCATTAACATCATTTTCATAACATATGTAAGCAACAGTGCATTTTATCACCTGTGCCTTGGTAAAGTTAGCTCACAGATAAATACCAACTAACAGAAACTAAACTGAAGCCAAGACAAATACCATTCTGGAACTACAGTGACACGTATTCATTCAAGTTTGGAGCAACAGTTCCCAACTTCTGAATTCAGGTTGTATCTCAAAGGTGTCCCTTGGTACTAAGCTTTCACAGGGTATCATCTACACATGTTTTTAAACAGCTCCTTTAGGTTGAGATTTCCTGGTCTTAGTTAGACATACTTTCTTCGCATTCCTTTTGGTCTACAGCAATCTAATATACACTGGCACAAAATCATCTCAAAGCAAACTTCAATGAGTTGAGAAAATCATGGTTTGTTTCCCTTAGCATCACTAGTTACAACTCCCTATTCTGAGAAAATTGTACTTGGCTGACGACAAGTCTTTGACGTTGTGTTCTGAATCTGAAGTGCTATGCCAGTGACCTGAAAGTTGCATAGTGACACATCATCAGATTCGACAACTGTATGACCAAGACTGAGTAAATTCAGTCCATTTATGAGATCACAAGCTTTCTGGTGAAATAAAGGTATTAATAATAAACACATGGCAGTGTCTTAGAAAACATGAACTCACATGGACTAGTGTGAAGACTAGTCTTTTTCTACAAAGCCCTTTCAATAATGAGTTGGTAGGGACAGTCATTATGTGAATTTCATATAGCAAGAGTATCTCTTTCACAAAATATTCCTCTTTAACAAGTTGAATGTAGGTTTCCTGTATCAGACACCTGGTTCTTTCCATGTTTTCTGCAATATCAAGCAGGCCATCAATATTCAGTGATTTGTCAAAATGTTAGCACCAATAACTCTGGACAAAGCACAGATTTTTCTTTAAACAGTGTTATGAAGTATGACTAATAAGATTTGCTCAAATCTACACGGAGACTTCCATGTCAGTAGTTTTGTTCTCTTAGGCCCATCATTCCAATATGAGGAGCAGGTTGATTGCCCTTAACTCTATTCTATGTAAGTCAGGGCAGTTATGGGCTACTACTCAACTTCAAGATTGTCAAAGTGTGGTGTTCTATCTACAAATGCTATGCTCAGCCAGACACTGGACTTACATTATATATATATATAAATTTTGTTAACACTTACCTTCTACTTCTGTGTCTGTCTGAGAATTGCTTTTTCCTTTACCCAAAGACTTGCTTTTGGTAGAACCTGTGCTTATACCAGCTGCATCCTGTCCTTTTGTAAGTCCATTATGTTCACTTGTAGGAGAAGGACATTTCTGAGGAGACGATGGAGGACTGTTTAACTTATCCTTCTGAGTTCCATGTCGATCTTTTAATTTTTTTTGTAACCTTTCATATGTTTTACTAGACCTTTCATCTCTAAAGTTGGATCTTCCATGAGCAGGCAGAGTATCTACATGAAAGTAAAGAAGAAAAAAATTAAATATAATCACTAAGAACAGAATGTAATTAAAAATCTATTAAAAATGCCATGTGTGCTAAGTGCATGCTTGTGTGTAAAATTACATCTCTACTCCTACTGGAAAACTGAAGTGTCCAGCAGGTAAACTAATATACACTAATTGGACATTAACAACATGCTAGGTTGCCATGCAACCTGGCACTGCTCTCTGAAAGTCTTTCAAGGTCGGCACCTGCTTTATAGCAGAAGTTTACCTAAAGAAAAGCAAGTTTACCAGAAATGTAAATATTATTCTAAGAACCCAACCCCTGAGTTAGCAGACACATACACTTTGCCACTAACCAGTATTAAGGGCAGATGTCAATAGCACTACCAAAGACAACTTCAACTACAGTATTACATTTAGGTTGGTGGCACCTGATTACTCAAGTTGGACTTCAACACGGACATTGGACTAAATGCATACAGTTTTATGAAAAATAGCAATCTTTTTTTCATAATCAATACTAAGAACTCCTGTTTCATGCTTCAAACAGGATACCTGCAAGACACGAGATCTCAGAACAGTGCTCAGGTATGGATTTAAATGTTTAATCTCAGGGGAAGGCATCAACTGAATCACTACAAACACATCCTGCATTGCTTCCCTGGGCAAATCGATAACTGATACACGTAAGAAATAATCTGTATGTTTAATGGATCACTGAATAGACAAGTCAAATTAATGAAAAGAACTTCTTCTGGAATAATAAGCTTCAGTAAAAACAAGACTCGTATCCTTGTAAAACTTTTGTGTATAGCTCCCATTCAAGCTATAAGTCTTCCTTGATAAAGCCTATACATCAGCATAACAAGTGCTGGAAATAAGCAGAGCATTATTTCCTTTGATAGAACTTGCAATATTCAATAAACTACTTACCCAGATCCCCATATACTTGTGAGGTGTGATACTGTGGAATGTACTGCGTTGCCATGTCACCAGCTCCGGTCACGGGTGAGTATATATGACGTGGTGGAGGGGGTATCATGGCTGGAAGAGGAAGGAAGCCAGGCAGTGGGGGATGCGGAGGCCTGTGTATCACTGCATGACCACCAGGATGAAATTCTGGAGCCTGGGGAACCACCACAACCCTTCGAACACCGTTATCCTCAATCACCTGTACAGGGAGAGAGACCATGCACCAAAACAGAAATGACAGTCTGAAACATATGGTTTCTATAGATACTTAAACAAAACTAGGAATAGTAAAACCCTTAAATTTGAGAAAACAGGAGAGCATAAGAAAACAAAAAGATAGGACAATTAAAGGGCTATCTACGTTAAGTGTATTAACTGCAACAATGCTATTAATTTTGCAATATGATGGGGAAAAATACTGTTAACAAAATCTGACTGTAATACCACCTTATAAGTAACAAGGTATATTTATGGCATGAGCCTAGCTTCTCCCCAGGGTCCTGTTTCCACCCTCACTCACATTGCTTGTATGCTACGTTGCTCCTAGGATTTGTTCTACAGTATAACAACTAGACTGCTCCCTAGAAGTGATTTGGTGGGTGAATGGACCTCACTCTGTATAAATGGTGAGAGAAAAGGCACAACCGTGTCTGGTCTTTGCTCTGCCCAACTCAGCCCACCAACACTAACCGGGAGATACTTGCCATACTTTACCTGTTGGCGTGCAGCAGCCATCGTCTGCATCAAGCTGTTAAAGCAAAAAGACTAGCAGGATGGCAGTCAGCCCTCTCAAGACTCCTTCACAACTCAAGGTAGTTTTTAAAAAGAATCCCCCCCCCATTAAAATGTCTTGCACCCTGAGGGAAGCCACATAGTACTCAGAAAACTGGGGCCTTTGTGGCAGCCTCTTCCAGACTCTGGTGTGCAAAGAGGCTTGTTGTGCAAAAATGGCAAATGGGAGATGTGACAGGACAGCCTTCTGCTGAGGGACCCAAGTGCAGCCCATAGCAATGTTGCTAGAGGTTCAAAGAAACAAAAGCAGCATATACAATCCCGTGATGAGAATAAGTGTTTTCACGTAAGATGCAGGGAGCTGAAATGTGCTTTTGCCCTGGTTTCGGCTGGGATAGAGTTAATTTTCTTCCTAGTAGCTGGTACAGTGCTGTGTTTTGGATTCAGGAGGAGAATAATGTTGATAACACACTGATGTTTTAGTTGTTGCTAAGTAATGTTCACACTAGCCAAGGACTTTTCAGCTTCCCATGCTCAACTGACTGAGAAGGCTGGAGGTGCACAAGAAGCTGGGAGGGGGCACAGCCAGGACAGCTGACCCAAACTGGCCAAAGGGACATTCCATACCATGTGACGTCATGCTCAGTACATAAACTGGACTGGCTGGGCATTGGTTGGTGGGTGGTGAGCAATTGCATTGTGCATCACTTGCTTTGCATATTCTTTTATTATTGTTATTATTATTATTATTTTATTTCAATTATTAAACTGTTCTTATCTCAACCCACAAGTTTTCTCACTTTTACTCTTACTCTTCCATCCCCCACCCCAGTGGGGTCGGGGAGGAATGAGCGAGCAGCTGCGTGGTGCTCAGTTGCTGGCTGAGATTAAACCACAACAGCTGTACGTGGTACATGTAGCACATCTGGGGTCTGTAGCATGTAGGGGTCTGGTGGAGAGCAGGCACAAAGTACTGAAGCAGAAAATGCTCTTCACTAAATGAGGGTCGGTCATCAACTGGACCAGAAACAGGGGTCCCTCCTTGAAGCACATCACAGACAGGGAAGACTGCCATCGTGATCCTCTCTAGATGTTTGTATCACTAGTGGTAAATTCACAAAAGTACATGACTGTTAGTAATATCTAGAGATGATCTTGGCATAATTTGACTTGTATGTATCGTGGTGTCAATAATTTAGTGTCTGGGATGCCAACGAATAAATTGTTCTCCACTTCCTAGTAAAATGCTGTAAAATAATGCCACAGCAGGGACTGCAATGTAAGTTTTCGGATGAAACATTTATCCGGAAAAGGGGGAGAAGAAAGGAATCTGGAATATCATGACTACATTCAAAAGCAGGGGACAAGGCAGCCCTATGACATAAGTTTCCACTGACATTTGAAATGAGGTGAGGACATGTACATGTACACCAATGAGTAACCTGGTGCAACAGAAGCAGATCAATAGATCAAAGCACTTAGTGCCAAGCTGTTTTCAACTCCACTGTTTAAGCTTAAGGGCATTATGCCTGGCTAGATTTAGTCCTATGCCCTGGTGTAAACACTTCCACCAAGTCCATGACAGAAAGCTGCTTGGAGAATCAATCATTGGTTTTAACATGTCTCCATTAGGGGTTGGTGTGCATCTGGTACATCTGGAACAGAGCTTCTGCTTTTGTTTTCTCTGACAGCAATCTAATTTGTACACCCCAAAATTATCCTGCTAGCTGAACCAATGCAAGGTAAGTGAGGTTGGTCTAGGAAATTGTTTCAAAATTTCACTACTGTACTGAGAAAGACAGTTATGTAGACACAGCTATATGCTTCTGGTGTAATGGCAGAATAAAGATCTCTATGCATATGCAATAACGTTCAAAAGACATATGTACACAATGGAGCTGATCCCACCTTACTTATAGAAGGCTGGAAATTAATATAAATGACCTAAGTGAACACAGCTTTAAAATACATACAGACCGTGTGACTTTAAAAAATGGGCCATCTTCAGTATACAGAAATTGTCCCTTACTGGGAAAGAGTAATTTCACTAAAGACAACACTCTTCATATCTGTGCAACCATAGCTGTGTGGTATCTAAAGGCAGGATATATTAGCAGCAGTAAGTATGACTAGAACTTCTGCTGTCCAGTGAAATTCTCTAAACACTGAAACATAGTTTTAATTAAAGTTCTTTTTGCTTACACAAAAAAAATTGCAATTTGTCATGAATTTATGAGCAGATTCAGATTACGTAGGAAGCAGCTTCCATAAAAAAAACCAGGCTACTTAGTTTATAATTTATTTATTTTCTTGGGTCTGCTAATAGCCTAAGTAACTCAGAAACACATACCAAATTCATAGCAGCAGGGACCTTAAGTTTAATAGTGTAAAATGAAGAGTTTGACAAGTCTATAACTGTGCCTCTAAATCAAACATCAACTCCGTAGGCCTCTACCAGGCAACTACACAGATAAAAACGCTCCAAAAAGCAGTCAGAGCATCATGTCAAGTATATAATTTTAAGTTAAAAAAAGTAAACAAGCTATCTATTATCCTAATTGTGCTAGCTAAGCATGTAGTTCTGGCATAGACCTGTTTGGTTGAGTGAACCAACCAAACATCACTGGAAAACTCACTACAGACAGTGAATATAGACAGCTTCGAGAGGATGAATAAAGATGTGCTTGCTTGCAGAGTTTTACAACTACAGTTCCAAAAGAAGAGGAAGGGAAAAGTAAATCAACTTATGAACTGCTTTTTATTTACGTGATACAAGAAAAATAAATATGTTTTATTCTGTAGTTATCCCCAACTTCTAACACAGGACAGTATGCTGTATCACTGCCAAGCAGGAACTGAAGCAAGCAGAGGCATAGTAAAACTAAATGAAAATGGATAGACAAAAGATGGTTATGCTGAAGTTGTTCTTCCACGCTGATGGCTTTAGACATTTAGCTGGTTTCCAATTTCTCTCAAAATATATCTGCAGTTGCTGACATTTAAAAATATACTAGGCCTGAAGAAACCATTAAGTTACTTTGCTGGGACTGCATTAAGCCTGGGATAACTCTTAGCTCAATAGTGTTAGACTTTCCTGTTTGCAAGACTACTATCAAATCTTCTGGCTTGTAACAGGAACTTCCATCAGAAACCACAACGGCTGGTATGTTTTGTCAGCAGTAAATACTTCAGAAGCCTTATAAACTACATGTTTTCCTGGACTACGATACTTCTACTGAGATGAAAACAGCAGACATGAGCTCATTTCCACCTGTACTCTGAGCTGGATAGCTGTGAGGCACCTTCAGTTCAAAAGTCAGAGCACTGTGTTAGCACAACACCTGCTTGCACTAACAAGCTCCAGTGAAAGGCTAACGAGCATGCCCCAGCAAGGCCCAGTTCTTCAGCCTGTCTGCTGCAAGTTGTCCTCAAAGGAAGGATAAATGCATTTTATAAATATTATTCAGATTAGCACACAACTTTTTTAAACATGAAGTACTTCATCAACTGAAATTAAGTACTCAAGAAACATGGCAAAATTTAGAATTTCACTTACCTCAAAAATTCTTTCAGTTCTTTAAAAATGAATCCTAATAGGAATCAAGACTTTTTACTATGACCTAAAGATGAATGGACTTTCATGATTATTTTTAATTCATTTTTCTTCTGCCTGTTTGAGAACTCAACTATGAAGGATGCATGAGTCAACTTATCAGCCAACTTTCAACAGATGAAAGGTAAAACCATGGAGCATTACCCTGCCTAACCTAACAGCCTTTTCTTTTGCTAGAGGACAATTTTTATGCAATTCAGATAATTTGTGTAACATCTGCTGGACACTGTGGGTTTTTTGGTTGCATTTTATGTGTTGTAGTCTCTTCTCAGTGTACGCCACGAGGTGTACGCTGAGTCAGAGGTAGGCTGGTCACAACAACAGAACATCATGAAAGACTTAGATTACGGAGAGTGGTATTCATCTGCTCCAATTTCCAGGTCTGACCTACTAACCCCTAGGCTTGTTCTATAGTTGAGGGAAAGAAAGAGACACCATCCAGAAGGCCACACATCTCATTATAATACAGGTGTCAAAAATAGCCAAGAGGAATCATCCTTTTAAACCTACTTTAAAGGATGTCCAGGTTATCTAGCTCACACTTAATTTTCAGGCATCTAAATTAGGAATTGCACAGCACAGAAAATCAGAGCCCCATTTTAAGATAAGTTGTGGAAACACGTATTATACAATAATTTATCCCCAATGGACAGCTGACATTTTTTCCATGTTGTTTGCTACACTTTTTCCACTGATCTGTTTTACTCCTTATCTGCAGGAAACTTCCCAGACATGAACTTACTTATATAGAATTATATTGGTGCCAAAAGAAAACATCCACTAACCCAGAATTCAGTACAGGTCCTACATAATGAACTACCTGGGTCATGATTGTATTTTATGTTAAGAGGGCATCGAGTACATTAGGATCCTGAAATCAACAAGGAACTGTGCTTGTTATTGTCATGTAAGTAGTTAATATGTAACTAAACAGGCACATATACAGCATAAGAAGTTTCCCATCACAGAGATACTACGGGACATCTCCCCTTATTTACTTGCTTGACCACAGTGACTCTGAAACTTGACACATTAATTTACTGAATTAGCTAGTTTGGTTCTACTCCCATAATCTGCATGAAAAGAAATAAAGTAAGAATCAAATGAAAGGACATACCTGTGGGGCATATCCAGGAGGCACATAAATAGTAGGCACTGAACCATTTGGGGACATCATTGGAACCTGAGCAGGACCTAAATGGGTTACAGAAATATTCAGTACAGCATCAATTAATAATTTGAGGAAGTTCAGAGAACATACTGAACTGCAAAGTCTCTGTAAAATATATACAAGATAACATGGATAAACAAAGGCAATGGACTGTACAGATAAAATTATAGCAAAGGGCACTCTCGGAAACATAAGAAACAGTTAGAAAAAAACAAACTAAATTAAAAAAAAATTCACCAGCAGGTATTTCTCCCTTCTCTGTCAGTAAGCTCACAAAAGAGCTTATGTCAAAACTTCTTAACAGGTGACAAGTCAAAAGAAGCATCCCAAGATGAAAAGACAATAGAAGAAACTTTAAAACAGAAACAAAAAAACCCATCTTTGAAACAAATTGCTGAAATCAGATAGTATTCAGTTAAGAGTTGTAAAGAAAATTACTTACAAAATTGTTGCTCTGTTACTACGGTCTTATCACCTAAAGTGGTCTCAGTACCAGAGGAGTGTGAAGTGGCAAACAGGACACTAACTTAAGGTCCCAGGGGAAAGCCACTGTATTACAAACCAATAAGTCTACTCCTACTTATGGGAAAAGTTGTGATACCATGATGATCCTTGTACCATGCAAACCAGAAAGAACAGAGTTCACAGACACTTAGGTAAATATGACACAACAGGGATGGGTTAAGGTGGCATTTGTAGATAAAGTACTGCCTGGAAAAACTGGTACCTTCAAAGAGCACAGGGACGCTGTGACAATACTTGGATTTTCAAAAAGCTTTTGACAATCTTTCTCAAAGACTCTTAAAGAAGTAATGCTGCCTTTGGTTAAAAAGGGAAAATGGCTTCTCATGAATAACTAACTGGCTTGAGAACAGGAAACAAGAGAAGTAAATGATCAGCTTTCAAAGTGCCTGGAGTGACCAGAGGAGTCCCAGAGGCACATAAAGATGAATCTGTTCAATGTATTAACAAAATTTCTGGAAAAGGAAATGAACAGTGAGCTGACAAATCTTTGGTATGCACTCAGAGAGCTGCAAAGGATCTCACAGTACTCAATGACCAGATGTTAAAAAAGCAGAAGAAATAGTGCTGATAAGTACAGAGTAATGCACCTGGACAAAAACAACAGAAGTATTTATTTACAGTGATAAGCCATAAGTTAGCTGCAAATAAGTGACCATGGAGTTACTACATGTATTTCTAAGGAAATACCAGCCGAGCATTGTCCAGTGACATTTGCAGAAAGAAAGAGAACATTAAAAATCATTACTAAACAGAACAGAGAACAAGCAGAAAACATTATTACGCTACGCTATAAATCCACACTGTACCTCAATACCTTGAGCGCTATGGGCAGTGCTTGTCTCCACCTTTCAAAAAACACACAGAACTAGAAAAGGACGAAAAAAGAGGAGACATTTACAGTGGCTTTCCACCTGCTTATCAGGAAAGATTAAAGAGACCAAGATTCTTCCACCTGAAGATGGTTAAAACATAAGAGGGCTGACAGCAGAGAAATAGTGAAAGACAAAAAAAAGCACTCACAAACTGCCTAAAAATGGGAAGATGGATAATTTACAGTTTCTCATGTGCTAAAGCCAGAGATAAATCACCAGGTAAAAGGTTTAAAACAGATAAAGGAATTTCTCATGAAATGCACAACTAAATTGTGTAACTCCTTGCTGTAAGAACACTGCGGAAACTAAAGGTTAGGTTCCAGAAGAAGTTAAGCAAATTGAGAGAAGTAATCCATTAAGAGCTGTAAAAAATACAAGTATTACTTTTGGTTCAGGAAGCCGGAAACAAGAAAGTTATTTCTGTGTGCCTGCCCTACCCTTACGCTCTTCCCTTTAGTATTTGATACTGGCACATTGGCACAGGCTTCAAGAGGGACTGCCTACAGACGTCCTTACATTCTCGTGTTTAAAATACACAAGGCAACAATCGCTGAAGTTTAATTATTAAAGAAAAACTGAAACACAATATAATCTGACCAGGTTTTGGGACAAGTGCATAAGGTTGTGATTCAAACACTCCAGGCTGCATTCTCCAAATTTCCAATTCAGTGTAGTGAAGCTACCAAAAGCACCAATCCAACTCTTTGTGAAATTTCAATAATACTTCTGAAAGGGCATTCATAGCTCCACATTAATGTTTTATAAAACTCAGTTAAGATCTGTAAATGGAAAGTACTAAATAAATGCAAAGTACAGTATATGAGATTAGCATACCTCATTCTGATAAGTATGAACTTGACAGAAAAATAAAGATAACTATGTCCGAATGCCAAGAGCAGGGAAAAAGGAACAAAAAGCAATTCTTTAAAAAGTAGCATGTAATCTAACTTGATTACACATACTATAGGGACTTCTTTAGAATAAGATACAGCAGTTTTGAAATGTATTACCTAAAAAGAATCACAGCTTCATTCTTTAAGTGTTAACTCACAACTAGGGGAGAGAGGGGAAAAGACTTTTTGAGAACAAGGTCTTAATTGAAAGATTAACTGAACTGTCTGAACTGTGGAACAGCAAAGAATAAGGGCTACAGTAAGCTATAAATTGAGAACTGAACCTTCTTTGGGTCTTTTTGCTCAGCTGAAATTAGAAGATGTTTCAGTGGAAGTTTTTCCTGAGTATGAAGTGCTAAAAAGAAGTGAAAGTGAAGTGAAAAGCACAAAAGAGAAGCTGAAAAAGCACTTTAGAGCATTAGCTTACAATAAATTCAAAAAGGTCAACAGTAATGGAAGCATATTTATTTAAGTTGCCATTCAATGAAATAATGGTTTAAATTCTTACGTAAGAAGGTGGATTTCACACAGCTTGTATCTTGTATTGCTTACTTGTAGTTTTCCATAATGAATACAAAACACTGACACTTTTATTAAACTCACAATTTTAAACTATATGTTTCACGTAAATTGAGAATTAAGACCATAGTTACTTGAACTTTTTCCAGCAAACTCAACATCCTTGGGGGATGTAGGAACTCTAACATGAACAGCCCGTTTCTTTGTGACCTGGCGGGTATCTCTGTGTTTGGCTTTTTTGTTTTGTTTTGCTTTAAATATCTTATGAATATTGTTTAACCATCTTTTTAAAGCTTACAAATAATAAAAAAAAGCAGTTATCTCCAATCCAGTACAAAGGTTGATCCACAAAGCCATTTCCAGTATACCTATAATCTAGCGGTCACAAAAATAAAGACATAAAGGCAACGTATGAACCTGAAAAATTATTGCAGTGTTAGAATAGAGTCAAATTAGTAGTCTGAAAACTTGCATCCCATCTTTAGCACTTTAAAGTTCTAGAATTAATGAATATATTTTTAATATTCAAGAGATACGGGTGAACTCAAATTTAGTTCTAGTTAGATTTCCAAGTGATTGTGAAATGAATGTTCCTCTGCACTAGGTTGCAGAGGAACATTCAAGAAAATGGAAAACATGGAAAAAAAGTTGGCAGACTTCATATATCTTAATGAACATAGGGTCTTTACAGTGAAATTACTGATTTCTTGACAGAAAGCATACTACTACCTGCAAAAATTAGAAAAAAAACAAAACAAACCACAAAACTTTCCTGTATCTAAAGATAAAATGCTAATACACTATAAAACCAGTTGGTTTTTTTTTTTTCCTTTTAAAAACAACTAATGTGAAGATCTTGGCTCTACTTCAGTGAAATACACTGCCAGAGGAATTTTCATGCTTTTAGATATTGGCTAGACCGGTGCATGACAAAGCCAGTGTGTTTTACCATAAGGTGAGACTGATTATAAAGTACCAGCAGACAACAGCATCAGGAATTCATGTTAAGGAAACATCTAATTTTCTATATTGCACGTAAATGGAATTGACTTCATCCAAATCACTATATTATGAATGTTGATGATGACCATCATAAGAGGTGGTCTCGAATCTTCTATATACCTTCAGGTATACAAGTTCTCTTACGTAAGAAGTGGAAAAGAACTATTGTGGGAGACAAAACAAACACATAGCTGTGTTTTATACCTTATTCTTGAAAAATGACTCATCAAACACAGTAAAGTTTTATTTAACTCAATTGAACCCAAGAAACAGATGTTTCACCACACTTAATTATTGTCCTGAAATTTGCTGTTTCACTACTATGAAAGGGAAAACTTGTAAAGTCTCTATGTGAGCATTTTGTCCTAAGTTTTAAAAATTAAAAATCAAGGTGCCTATCAAAGATCACATAAAACTTGGAATATGTGTCCTGAAACAGGAAATACATAAAAAAAAAAAATCCCACCAACAGGAGGAATATCTGTTCCCCAGCAATAGCAGGTGACCGTCTCCAACATCTCTATTTGAGCAGACTGTAAAAACCTCATTATGCTCATTACAGCTACCATAAACGTGTAGCAAGATTAACAGCGCTGCATAATCGCTAGGATCGTGACAAACTGATCTAAACGTAGTAACTCCTGAAAATTTGAGGATACCGCCACCGCTTGCTAACAGATACACGATTTCTTTTTATTTTAACCATTAAGCATCGCTCCATTTTAAGTCGCTTATAAAAGCGCCCGGCGAAGGTGAACGCCGTGGATTTCCAGCGCAAAAGCAGTACTTGCTCACCGCCTGCGTGAGCGAATACTCTTCCGGGGCAGTAACCGCCCATAGCCCCGCTCTTATAAAACCCGGGCTCGTAATGGCCTCCCAGCGCAGAGGCTTCCCGCTCCCTTCACGGTTTCGGGGCCACCGCAGCCCCCCCAGGCCCGGCCAGCCACCCCCTCCTCCGGCGCCAGCGCATCACCGAGGGA